GTTGCTGTAATACGAATATTACATAGGTGATTATCCAAATTTTCACTGTCGATGGGATTTGAACATCCAACCTACCATTTGGGGGGTTGACAACCTGACCACTTCACTAGGTCACCACACCCTATCTGAATTTTTTCGCATACAGTATGATTAATTATTTGTTATAGAATATTTTAAAAAATTTTTTGCATACTGTACTGTACACGACACATTACTACTTACAACATACCAAAGTGCTAATACTGATTCTATGTGATGTCAGTAAATGACCTATAAGAAAAGTGACTGTCAGAAAAATGAATGATTACTTACCAAGAAAGATTGCAATTTTCTTGTTAAATATTTTTCATCAAATTTAATCTTGACAATTTCAGGATTAAACAAATTGGGCAAGATAGACCAGGTTTAGCATATTGATTCTTTGTAGGTTGTCAGCCAAATACTTTCTTAGCGACCATTTGATGATAGGTTTTATTCTCTTCTTTGATCATAGTGTCCATATTTTTGAAACACCATTGTATCTCTTTACTTGATTTCTAAGAAATTATTTCTGTTTCAGAACTTTCTGAATTGACAGTTTGTGAAATCTTATTTTTAAAGACATGCTCAAACACAGCACGATGAAAAGACCCGAATAAAGCTCTACGATATTTGCATGATTTAGCACTGATCTATGCATAAAATTTAATTAAGTTATATAATTATGAAACTTATGCACTAAACTATTATTTACTGAATTTTCAATCTTGCTATACAGTGCCTCTTATCTAGAACATTTTTTATACTGCATCATTTTGTTTGGACAAAGATCTTCAAGTTCTTTCTGAATGGATTCTTCATAAACTTTGTCATTAGGATAAAGCCAATTATCTATAGAAAATTTAATATCTTGTGTCGCTTCTTTCTATAAAAATTTTTATTCCCTCTTTTAAATTAAATTAATTAATTACACAAATCATGTAATTATATACCTTATTATAATCAACCAAGTATTAAAATAAATGATATGTTTAATTAAAAGAGAATGATAATAAAATATTTATATACCTGCCACTATTCATGACCATTATCTTTTGACTTCAACTTTAAATTTTTATATGAATATTGTAAAACCTTAATGTCACTGGCAAGTTGAGTAACCGTAGCTTTCAAAGTTCCTTGCTTTTCCATAATCGAGGTGTTTTGAATTAATATTTTGTTAATAATTTCTAGTAATATATTTATTGCTTTATTTTCTTTATCTAAAACTAATTAATTTAATAGTTAATATTTGCACTTATAAAAGATAATCTAAAACACAATAAATTTTATATATTTCTAACTCTGACCCTGATTTGTATCGACAGACAATTCTTCTGATGCATTATTAAAGATTTTGTTAAGTAGAGACCTAGGTGGGCTTTCAACAATTTCATAAGGGTCCGATAAAGAATGAAAAGGATCTTGAAAATTATTATCATTATTATTCTCAATAATTTCAACATAGTTTTTTTTTAACTTGTACAATGCTTTATTTCTTTGGAGGCATTGACTAGTTAGTTTACTTGTGTTTCATTGTTTTTTAGTAGTTGACTTTGAGGAGCCAGTTTTTAATGCATCTAATGCCTGAAAATAAAAAAAAAAAGAATAAAAAACATAAGTATAAAAATTCATATGATCGTTCAAAAGCACAGTGTTTATTAATTACCAAGGCAACTTCATTCTGTTCTGAGCCAAGTTTTCATTTTCTACCTTTAGGAGGCATAAAGGTTTCTTAAAAGAGTTTAAAGTTATCGACCACTGCCTTTACTAAGTTTTAGAGAAAGAATTTTTACTGAAAAGGTTTCTTAAAAAAGTTTAAAAGTTGCTGATCACTGCCTTTATAAAATTTCAAATTAGGAATTTTTACTTTATAAAGTAAAAATGTAATACTGTAAGTGATCGATCTAATAAATAAAAAATCAACATACAATAGATAAATAAAATAGTATAATTATTGATGGGAACTATTAAGATTGGCATTGCACACTTATTAGTGTAAGAGTGCTTAATTGTTATATGACTAATGATATAAAAGTCACAACAGATGTTAATAATTATCTAGGTTAAAAATGTGTGCTGATTAAGCACCTTGCACTGATAAGTGCATTATCAATCAAAATGTGCCTTAGTAAAATTTGACAAAATGATAAAAAAATCAGATTATATTTAATTGTAACATGTTATCTGTAACAATTTAGCTTATAATTGGTAAAGTAATATGCATTTAATTAATGTCACACCAGGTCACAATTAGACATGACTTAATTTTTTTATTATTTATTTAACAATTTGTCAGACCTCACTTAGGCATGTTTTGATTGATGATGCAGGTAAAAAAAAAATCAAAATTTTGATACCAAATTCGATTTGTATGTATCAAAAAAATAACTATTTTTATATATTTTTATTATATATAATGGTTACCTTCTTGATGCATCATATTTGAACAATAATTTTCACTACAATATACATTATTTCATTCTTTAGTTTAATGTGTAATTACATAATTCTATGTAATTCTAAACTAATAATTTTATGTTAAATATTCAAATTTTACTTCAGATCTATTTTAATCTTTTCTTCATGTTCATATGCTGTATTTGCGAAAAAGAATTTGGCTGTCTAACGAGCCTCAAAAATCATAAAAAGGCTCATAAAAAATGCCATTAAATCAAAGATGAATCTAGTACTGATACAGCCACTAGTACTGATACAGCTACTAGTACAGATAAGAGTACGAACAGCTATATTTCTGATAAATCAAAAATAATAAACAGACATAATAATAAAAAGGGCATAACTGTCAATAATGACTCAATATTTTAGCATCAAGATATTTTCGATAAGTCTTACCTGATATTTGATACGCAAAATATTGATTTTAATTTAATGCTTGATAACCAGAAAACTGCCAGCAAGTCCGATTCAATGTTTAATGATCAGGAAATTGTTAGTGAGTTCGATTTAATGTTTAATGACCAGGGAACTGTCAAAGACCAGGAAACTGTCAAAGACCAGGAAACTGTCAGAGAGTCTGAATCAATATCTGATAATAAGTCTGATGACCAAGAGACTAATAATGAGTGCATCCCAATGTTCGATAATCATGATATTGCTAATAAGTCTATCTCAATCTTGAATAAAGATAATACTGATGAGTTTGACCAAATATTTGAAAGAGGTATACTAAAAAATTATGAAGAAACTGATAATGAATTCTGGAGTGATGATAGTAAATATGATAATGTGAATTTTCCAAATATTATATATCAGGATTTTGTAAATATAAGAAGTATTATGCATATATATATATTTTGTTTTTAAAATCAGATATTTGAAATCTAAATTATATTTATTATCAATATTAGGTAATCTAACATTAACTTTCTTATAAGACCAGCAATGCTATATTGAAGTTTGTAAAATAATATAGCCAAATTTCAAAAAAAATCTTGCCTAGATCAACTAAAGAAGGTCTTCATTTCTTGGATTCCTTAGAAAAAAATTATACAAAATTTTTTTCAACTTCTGTTGCACAAGTCAGAGGTCAAACATATTTGTTTAAGTATCGACTAATAATTTCAGCTGTTAGAAAAATTCTCCAGGATCAAGAAATCGCGATGAACTGTGTTTTTGATTATCAGGAGATTTATGTATTAAATAAGGCATGTAAAGTTTATAGAAGTAATGGTATTACTAAATTTCGATATATATATATATATTAAGAAGGCGATTGCTTTTGTTTTTAACCTTCTTGATGCTTAATATTCATAATTGGCAAATTTTGAATAAAGAAATATTATATATTGTCATAAATATATTAAGTTAAATTATAAAACCATATAAATTTAATAAATCAGTTCTCATAACCTGGTCAGGGCAAACTTTAAAAAGATTTTTTGATAATATTTACTATCTGGGTGAGCTTTTTTAAAAAATCAATAGAATATGAAATTTTCTGAAAATACAATTAAGTGCCAGGTTATTTTTTAAAATTTTATTTTATGAGAACCAAATTATTAACTTTTCATAGCCTAATACATATTTAAATATTATATTAGATAACCTGCTAAATATTATTTTTTTAATTTTTAGGGGCATCGAGAAAGAGTGTACTCTGAATTTTATAATTGCAATTGGTAGGGTCGTGTTCAACAGCGTATTCTGACTGATCATAAGGTTTTAGCTATAATCTTATACTCAGATGCAACTTCACTAGATTGATTAGGAAAAAATTCATGGCATCCGATATTTATTAGCTTAGGCAATATTCCAACAAATTTCCAAAACAAAGCTAAAGCTAAAGCACTCATTGGTATCATACCAACATTAGAGGGCACTAAAGAGGAACGCCAAACACTACAATTTAAACAATTAATCTGGTTAACCTTTCACAAATGCATTAACATACTTATTGAGCTGTTATGTCTACAATATCATTCTGGAACATTATTAAAAGTTAATTCTTATGATTTAAGATGCATTATAGTACTAGCTAGTATTATTGAAAACTGGCCTGAAAATTGTAAATCATGTCTAACTTATAATGGAACCAATTGTGCACATTCATGTCACACTTGCCTTGTGAAAAAGGATAAACTAAATGCAATTAAAATATCTAAAAATCAGAAAATTACCAGAACAGAAGATCAAATGCGATGAGCCATTGCATTTGAGCAAGAAAAATACTATTCAGTATATGAAGAGACAAATAGTTTTTGAAATCACCTGTAAGTAGTTTGCTAATTGAAATTTCTAATTCTGGTCATAAAATTTATTTTAATATACAATTAACATTTTGGTATTATAGAGGTTTTAATATTTATTCAGCAACAGTCCCTGAGCAAATGCATCATTTAGATCTTGGACTCTGCCTGTATATGATTAAATTTATATGAGATCTCTTAAAATTTTATGATGAAATTACTCTCATTAATAAAATGGATCTAAGACTCGGACTGGTACCACATCATTCAGGATTAAAAGTATTCAATTCAGGGCTTGCAGATTTTGTTCTATTTACTGCATCTGAGTACAAGCATATAATGAAAGCATACCCTTTGTTCTTGAAGGCCTTATTAAAGCAAAGAAGAATAAATCACTTATTTAAATGTTTATTAGTTGGAATAAAATGTATCATCAGTCAAAACAACATAAATTTACACATTCTGATCTTCTGCAATTTGAGGTTAGTAATTTTTGCATACACATATGCACTAACTAAAATACCGACATAACAAATAGTATATATAAATTTTTAAAATAATATATATATATGCATATGACATTCATAGTTGTGTAATACATGTGACTTTTAATTTTTCACTATGTTGAAAGCTTGCATCATACTAGGTATTTTGTCAGTACATTACAGTAGATATTATAATTTATATTAACTAATAGGTTTATAATTTAGACATTAATTCAATTATAGACAAAAGATTTCGTCAGTATTCTTAGACCATTTACTAAGAATGATTGTTGGTTTTTAAAATTTCACTACTGGATCCACCATACCGTTAAACAATTAAAGAATATAGAAATCTTAATGGATTGAGCACTGAAACATATGAAGTACTTCACAAGCAATACATTAAAACTCCATATAAAATGTCTAACAAATGCAATATTGACATCCAGATTTTACAAAAGGTTTGTTTATTTAGCTTTTTGGTATCATTATTTAATTTATACAGGTGACTCTTAATAAAAGAAAGTTACTAGGTCTAGCTTATACTTGTGTTAATGCAATTCTTATAGGTAACATGAACTCTCACACTCAAAGGTATTTATAAGCATATTTTATCGCAAAATGGAAAATCCAAATCTAAAGAGAATACTAGAAAATTTGGAAAAAAATATTGCACTATATTATAGCGGTTTTTAAAGTCACTTATCGAAATATATATGCATGATGAAGAACATACTTCTGAAATTCTTGAGGGTTTATGCCATCTCATCTCCACAATAAATGACTATTTTGATTTTATGTCTGTATCTGAAGAAGATATAAATAAATCAGAACTAGTCTTTATTTTATACGAATCTTTTGCATTGTCCAACAAAGAACAAGTAAGAGCTATAGGACATTATTACAATATGCTAGTGTTTAGCAACATTTCCATTTATATGAGTTCTGGACCAAAAAAATTTGAAACATTTAACAGCTATTGTTTTGCAAAGGTAATGTAACACTTAAATAAATTGGTTTTTATATAGTTTGAGGACTAAATTTTAGTTCAAATTTTAGGTTCTACTATTAGTTCGCATAGAGTTAAAAAACATCATGACATTTGATTTCACACTTATTTGTTAGTATGATTTTAAATTTTCAAATGCTCCTTCAAAATTTTACAAAAATGAGTGCCTCTATTTACAATTATCAAATATTTACAATTTGATTCTGGTGGAATCAATCAATAATATTATTCATATTGTACCGCAATTTGATACAATAAATTCATATTATATAAATATTTTTATATAACTGTACAGAATTCATATGAATATTTTATTTATATGTAATTATTACTATATATATAACAATAAGACATTTATATCTCTACGTTAGACAATCTTGGCAATTATCTATTAATGTTAACTTGGTTTCAATTGAAATACTCATGATTTTGTGAATTGTGATATCATGTGACTTCAAATAAGCAAGTATACTTAAAGTATTGAATTGCAATCCAATCCAAGAAATATATATAAAGCATACTTATAGTAACTCGATAATAATAGTAATAAGACTTTTAATCTATCTATGCCTTGGTCAAGGCTTATCATATTGGGTTTTCAAACCTTATTAAATAGTTTTGTGTTAGTATCAAGTCATCCCTATTAATCACTACTTATTTACTAAACAACATTGATATAGTATGAGCGAAGTGAGATTATCTTTATTAGGTGGTTTTTTTTTAGAATAATTAAAGAAAAAAGGTAATTTTATATAGATTAAAAACTATGTAGCAAATGTAAATATCACAAGACCTTAACTGATCTCTAAAATTAGTTTTATGTAGCAAATATTATAATTAAATTCTTATGAGTTTTACTAGTGGATATTTTTTATAAATCAGTTTAAAACTCTAATACTGTATCTCAAAAACACATAAACCTCCTCACTAATAGTAAAAATTGTTAGATTAGTAATATTATGATCAAAATTGTTTTCTTAGACAAGGCACTGTTTTAGAAGTTAGGCAGATTAGACTATTACAACATCACACAAATCTAACATCTAATGGTAAGCATGATCTAACTTATCTCATCTTTTCTTATATTGCACATCATATGGAAGTCATGATTCTAATTTTTTTTAATAAATCGTTTCAATAATATCGATGCCTTGTATTAGAAGTCTGCAAGTGCCAGGCACAATTTTTAATAATAACTGTGCCTAGCACTTGTAAACCCTACTTTATATATTTAATTTTAATAGGCCGTGCCTATTTATTTCCATAATACGTATGTAATCAGAAAAGACTAATATATGACATCTCAAAATGTATATTTTATTCTTGGTTTTAGTTAGTGACATGCTACATACTGTACTGTACATACTATACATACTATATGCTAAAATTTTGACAGTCATTTTATAAGTTCTGAAGTTTAGGCCATAACATTTAGAAGTTCGTAAATATTCCAGAATGATTACAGAACATTCTGAGACTATAGCATAAAAAAATCCTACTATATGTATATGTACCATATGTACTGTATGCTAAAAAAAATCCGAGTATCATATAAATGGCACATTATTAGTTTTAGTACATGAATAGTTACTATTTATACAAGTAAATTCCTATATAGGGTTCATAAAATACAATTTTCTTATATTAGGCATTTATTAATAATTTTCATATGTAAAGCAGATTTATTATAGACAGTATTGGCTTAACTTTCTTATATTAAAGGTTTTTTCTATTAATTTATTTTTATAAAAATTTTATATATAATTTATATAAAATTTATAATATATAAAATTTATATAACTTCTTTATTTATAATATATTGATATATAAAGTTATATATTTATAATATATACTTTTTATAAATATATAAGAATTATATAAAATTTTTATATAAAATTATATTTATTTAATT